CCACCTGCCTCGGGCACGCCATTCCCGAGGGAATTGCGTCCGCGGTGCCGTGGCAGGCTGTGATTCTTCCGCTTCTTCTTCATCGTCTCCTCTTCATCTCCAGTCTCCGGTATATTGTCCACCATGGTCCTCTGCTATCCGTTGTCCAGGTTGCCAACGTTCGTCCTTTGTCTGCGGTTCCTGGTTCTGCTGGATATGGGCTCGCTCGTGCCGGCGTTCCCAATACCTGTATTGGCCGCCGCTCGTCGCCCTGGCGGTGCGGTGCTGTTTGACGCTTCTGCGGGTGGTTCTGTTGGCTGGCTTGTGCTGCGATCCAGTTGCCTTTCGCGCAGCTGCATGGCTTCAACTGCGAAACTATTAAGATGCTGAACTATTGTATTAAGAACTATTAAGATGTCTCGGTGCACCAGCAGTCTCTGTTGGCATGGCCATCCTATTTTTAATTTCTCGGCTTCGTTCTTTAGAGCTGTCCTGATATCTTTGAGGTCTTCGCATTCGAACAGGATATGGCTGACCGAGTCTTCCCTGCCGCAGTTACAGGTGCTAGTGTCTATGATGTTTAGCTTAGCCTGTTTGTCTCTGATCTTCCCGTGGCCAGAGAGAATTTGTACGTTATAGAAGTTCAGGTTGACCCAGTTGCTGTTCATTCGTTCCTTTACGGTGTTAAAGAAGCTGTGTGTTATTCCGCCTTTGGTTGATTCGTCCCATCTATGCTGCCAGATCTTTAGTACTTCTTCATTTATTTGTGACTTGATACGGTTGATTTCCTGGTGGCTGATTGGTTGTTCTCTGGCGGTGTAATTTAGGCTTCCGATGGTGAATGTTTTGTTACGGCGCAGTTCGTAGTTGCACCTGCTTCGGAGGATGGCGAGATCGACGGGTATCTCGCCGGCTATTACTGCAAGGGCGTCCGTTGATATGGTCCTGTATTCCTTGGTAACCCGGAGGAGTGCATGCCTTTGTGCCTGGTTTATTGTTTTAATGTGCCAGTTGCTGATTTTGTCCTGCCATCCTGCTGCCGCATATGTGACGATCGGCAGAAAGGTGCCTTTGTAGACCGTTCTCATGGTGTTTCGGTTTAGTCCCCACTGTGTCCTTGCGAGATGCGCCAGACTATTTAATGCTGCTTTGCTCTTGTCCGATATATATTTCGTGTGTGCTGCTATATTGAAACGTGTGCCAAAGTACACGCCTAGATATTTAACTGTTGGGGACATTTTTATGGATTCACGTTCTATTTTTACGGTCGGTGGCCGCTTGATGTCGAGGAATCCTTTGACTAGAAGCATTTCGGATTTGCTCTTGGAGAGTTCCAGCTTTTGCTCCCTGCACCATCCCTGGACCAGCGTGGCTGCGTATGTTGCCTTGTTTTGTATCTCCAGCCTGGAGTTGCCCGTTACTAAAACCACTATATCGTTGGCGTATGCAATTGGCTCCATGGCGGCGTCCGTTAATCTGTGCAACAGTTCGTCGAATATCAGGTTCCACAGGCTCGGTCCCAGGATGGAGCCTTGTGGGCAACCTTTGGTGACATTTTTCCGTATGCTACTATTGTTACTGTGGATTGTTGCGGTTCTATTGGATAAGTAACTTTGGAAGAGTCTGTATATGTTCCTGGGGCAGGACCGCTTTTTAAGATTGCCTAGTACGCTTGACCACCATACATTATCGAAAGCGCCGGATATATCGAAAAACAGGGCTATTGCGTATTTACTTGTTGTTCTGGCTGTTGGGTCGCGAAGTGCGACGATAGCGTCCTCGGTGCTTCTGCTAGGTTTGAAGCCGTACTGTCTACTTGCCGTGAATGGATGGTGGATGCAAAAGTTTTTCAATTCTGTTGTTCATGAGTTTTTCAAGGATTTTACTGAGTGAGGGCAGTAGGCAGATCGGTCTGTATGATTTTGGGTTAGAGGGGTCCTTATCCTTCCCTTTCAGCAGTGTTATGATGTTGCCATTTTTCCACCTGTCCGGGAAGGTTCCTTGCGATAGGCACGCGTTGTGTAGTCTTGTAAGAACTGATTTGATATGTGGCCATGACATTTTAACAATTTCGTTCTCTATCCTGTCATCTCCTGGTGCTTTTTTGTTCTTCAATTTCTTAATTATTGTTTCTATTTCATTTTCTGTGAATGGTGGTGCGTCTTCTGTGTCTGGGGGTATACTTGCGAATTTCCTTTGTTCCTTGTGTGTTGTGTTTTCAGTACTTATGTTGTCATCGGGGATGAGTGTGTTGAGTAGGGCTTTCGCTGTTTCCTCCCAACTTAGTGTGTGTTTTCCATTGACCTTTATTGAGTTGCAGGCTTTCTTTGTTCTGAGTTTGTCTGTGTGTAGTTTATATATAAGTCCCCAGGGCTCCGCATTTTCCTCTGTGCTGACGAAGTTCCTCCAGCTGGTGAGTTTTGCGTTTCGGATCGCAGATCTGTATCTGTTTCGGATTCTATTGTACTGTTGCTTAACACGTTCACGCCGGCGTTTCATGGGGCGGCGCGTACCGCCGATGGCTCGCACTAGATTGTCTCATGGGGCGGCGCGTATCACCGGTGGTACTCATTCGATTGTGCTATTAGACGCTGAAAATTAAAATTTAACGTATTTTCATTAAGAAAATTTATTTTTAATTATAATTAATAACGTATCATAAACATAAGTTTTGTTCAATAACATAAACATAATAATAAAGTTTTATAAATATAACTCAAATTCTACAAAATTAACATAATAATTCTACATTGCTCTATTTATAACATCATTATTTATTATTTTTTGTGTAATTTGTTAAAACATTTCAAGCAAAGTGCTGGCTGACCCTTGCAATGCCCACAATACGTCTTAACTCTTGTAGTTTTCTTAGTGGCATAATCTCTGCCCTTTTTCTTGGACAAATTTTTATAGCATTCCTTGCAGCGTTTACGGGACACTCTTGCAGATTCCTCATATGATTGAAGAACATGTTTATTTGACGGTATACGACAGTATATTTGTTCTTTGACCACAAGGTGATCAATAATAATTTCCCTAAATTTTAAAATATTCATATTTTTAGTGCCCCATCTTTTATGAATATACCAGGCATTCACGAGGGAAGTTCCGCATATTAACCGTTTGACTGCTAAGCAATTCTTGCAAGAACGCACGAAAACTGCGGGACATATTTTGACTTGATGTTGTCAAATAAAACACTCTCATTTAGACAAATATCAATCAATTTTAATAATTCTTTTCGTATTATAAAGAAACAATATTAATTGTGATTGTGAGTAAGAAAAAATAAACATTAAATAAAAAAACAACAAAATAAACAAACAAAATTGTTTTTTTTCTTTGAAAATTAAAATTTATAAAAAGATAACTAACAACTATGTTTTGCCGCACAAATAGCGTGAAGGCCTTTTTTACAACAAGCGCAAATAAGGCGGGATCCGGCATAAATTTCGATATTATAAGTGTAGCATTCAGGCAAACACAATTTGTATAATTTTACGCCCACTTATGTCGCTTGCCTGGGATGTACTGACGAAAACCTAGACGTCGTCTCCACGGAACCATACTTTCATCGATAACGATATTTTTGCCAGGCTTAACAGAACTCTTGAAGGTATCCACAATTGCTTCAATAATGTTTTGAATTTTGTACAACCGATCTTCAGTTCTGGCTGTGGTATTTTCCGAAAAATGTAAAAACTTAAGAATAGATAAAAAACGATCACGTCTCATTGCATTTTTTATGCGTGCGTTCGCATACATGTCGTTGTTAGACCAATATAATCTAATTTCTGGTAATTGCACTACACCCATAATAAGCAATATGCCAAAAAAAGTATTCATTTCATCTCTTGTAACAGATTGCCAGGCCTGTTGGTGCATTTTACTGATAAATGAAGAATTATTTATACATTGTGTAGCATATTTATTTGTTTCTTCAATTATCAAATCTAATATGTAATCCGTGAAGAATAGTTTGTATAAAGCAAAAGGGTCATTACAGTCAGTGTTTTCATATAAAAATTCCTCTTCTTCCGAATACTCATTTATTACTGAAGTTCTTTCTTTTACTTCCTGCCATTCATCATCGTCATCCTCGTTCTCTGATTTAGACACCAAATCTTCTTCTTCCGTGGAACATTCGTTCACTTCACTGTTTACATTAACAAAATCCTCGTCTGAAGAGGAAGAAAATATCCGTAATCTTGATGCCTTTCTCCTGCTTCTATTTATAGATTTATCAGAATCACTTATTTCCATATCCATGTTACCTATTTTTTATAAGGACAAGAATTAAAAAAAATACTCTAACCACCTTTCTAGTTATACTTACTGGCAGAAATCTGTAGCCAGGATGAAAAAACGGCACGAATTACACAACTTGCACAATAAGCACACACTGTACTACTGAGCAAACATACAACGCGTATGCAGGTCTGAACAGGCAAAAATCGCGCCCGTCAGATGAAGCGCGGCATTAGTTTCAGCGCCGCCTCACAGCAAAACAAATAAAAATCGGTCCCGGCGTGATGTGGTCCAGTCTCCATCATTGTTGATTATAGCCTGTTTCGTTCGAAGCCACAGGGTCCCATAAGTCCTTCGTCTCTGGTCTCCTTTTCTCGTTATCTGGGGATTCATTTGTGCCGCCAGTCATGATTGTCTCCCAGTATTGAACCATATTAGCTTTGGCTGGTGTTCGTGCCATAGTTTTGCTCTTCAGTATTGTTCTGAGGCAATTGCATGGGTTCTTTTTCCATGCCCTTTGTACTTTTGCATATTCGTTTTCTTGCAACAATTTTCAAAGTAAATTCCAAGCAAAAATGACCAATAAAATGATTGTTTATTGTTATTTAAAATTCCATTCATAGATTACTATACGTGTTCCTCAATTAAAATTAGTAAAATAAAATTTCGTACTTTCTGTTATTATTGGGTTGTTCGGAAAGTCATTTCGTTTTTTTTGGGGAACATGAAAGACAGTTTTCGTATAATGAATAAATATTTTATTAAATTATATATTGGCCATTCTGGTCCAACACCTTTTGCCATCTTTCTGGCAGTAACATAATTCCCCTCTCATAAAAGTTTTGGTCCTTGCTGGCAAAAAACTGGTTCAGGTGGTTTTTGACATCTTCATTTGAGGTAAAGGTTTTGCCATCCAAAAAATTTTGCAGGGACCGGAACAAATAGTAGTCGGAAGGCGCCAGATCTGGAGAATATGGTGGATGTTGCAGTACGTCCCATTCAAGCTGTAAAAGTTTTTGGCGAGTGACCAAACTTGTGTGAGGTCTCGCATTATCCTGGTGGAACACTACACCCTTCCTGTTGATTAATTCGGGCCTCTTCTCTTTAAGTGAATCATTCAATTTGTCCAGCTGATGACAATAGACTTCTGAATTAATCGTTGTATTGTCCGGCAAAAGCTCAAAAAAAACGATTCCTTTGACATCCCACCAAACGGAGAGCATCACCTTTTTTTGGTGAATGTTGGCTTTTGACACGCTTTGAGCCGGTTCATCTTTTCTGCTCCATGACCTCTTGCGTTTAACATTGTTGTATACAACCCATTTTTCGTCCCCAGTAATAATCCGCTTCAAAAATGGATCATTTTCTTGACGTTTGAGGAGCGAATCACACGCGTCAACGCGACGACACAAATTTCGCTCCGTAAGGACATGGGGCACCCACACATCGAGCTTCGAGGTTAAGCCCATGCCTTTCAAATGGCCATAAACAGTCGAATTCGACAAATTTAATCTCTCACCGATCTCTCGTGTGGTTATTCGCCGATTTGCATCAACTAATGCCTTTATCGCATCTTTGTCAGCTTCGACCGGCCTTCCAGACCGTGGTGCATCTTCGACATCAAAATTGCCGGATCGAAATTTTGCAAACCAGTTCTGGCACTGGCGTACTGTTAACACGCCTTCTCCATACACATCCGTCAATTTTTTTCTCGCTTGGACAGCATTTTTACCTTTTCTGAAGTAAAAAAGTAAAATATGACGAAAATGCTGCTTATTGCTCTCCATATTTAAAAGGGCACCAACCAAAAACTACTGCGTAGAATTAATAGAACTTTTTCACACACAAGCCTTGCAATATCAGCTCTCAAGACATATAATGGTTATGCGGCTTAAGTGTGAAGTTGGTTTCGAAAAAACGTAATTAAGGCCTCTGACGGGAAAAAACGAAATTACTTTCCGAACAACCCAATATATTATTTGGAGGAGGACTGGGCGTCCTTTCTCCTGTTGTTACACTATTGTCTGCCGTCAATTCCCGCATTACTTGGAGGACTTTGTCCTTGTGGGACTTGTTCCTCCTTTGGCCTTTGATGGATTCGAGGGTCCTGTGAGGGAAAATAGGTTGCAACGCCTGATTGATAAATTTGGTGTTCTGTAGCACCAGATGAGATACCTGCCGTGCCAGGAGCGCCTGTTCCTCTGAGCTCCAAGGAGACTTCTTGTTTACGATGTTGGTTACTTGCCTTTCGTCGTACCAGCTCTTGTGTGTTCGTTGTTCGTGTACACTTTTGCCCCTTATGGTTTTAAAAGATTTTCCGCACTCTGGGTATCCGCAGAGATAGGTTTCGCTTGTCCATGGGCTCTCGGAGTCCGTAGTCGTCATCGG